ACAGCGATACTCTATAATGTAAAACTGAAAACGAAATTCTACAGATCCCCCTAAATGAATGATAAATATAAGGCAGAAAATAACTGATTCACCCCCTTTACTACGACATACTGTACATAAATAGGCTTTGGTGCAACCAATTGTTTTTAGAAGTCACATAATTAGTTGAATTAGTCCACCTGTGTGAAAAAAAGGTGTTTCAAACGAGTTCAGGTTAAATTCACCTGTCTCTGGGTGGCCCCACAGTTGATTAGTGCAGGTTCCAACAAAAAATACATCAAAACGATGAAAGGAACATGCAAAGCAAATCACTAAAAGGATAACTGAAAAGCACCAATCAGGGAAAGGGTATAAGAAAATATCTAAGGTGTTGAATATAACAATACAATCTAGTCCATTATAAAGAAATTAAGAAAATATGGCACAACTGAATCTGTGTAGAACAGGGTGTCCTCAAGAACTGAGTAATTGGACGAGAATGGCACTGTCGAGAAAGAGATGACCCATGACAACTCTGAAGGTATTACTGTCTTCCATTTGGCACATGACAGCAATTGCCCAGGTGCTTCACAACTCTGGGCTGAATAGGAGAATGGCAAATCGAAAGACACTGTTGAAACAAAGTCACATTAAATCGTGATTACAGTTTTCCTGAAGACATGTAAGGTGACTCTGAGACTAAGTAGATGAAGATTTTATGGTCAGATGAGACCTAAATTGTTGTTTTTTGCTTCAATGCTAAGCCATTTGCTTGTCTCATGTACACCGAACATCATCCTGAGAACACCATCCCTACTGTGAAGCATGCTATCATGCTATAGGGAAGCTTTGCTTCTTCAGGGCCTGGAAGACCTATGAAGATAGAAGGCAAAATGGATGCAGCAAAGTACAGGGAAATCCTGGAGGAAAACCTGATGCAGTCTGCAGATACCAGGGATTTATCTTCTAGCAGGACATTGACCCAAAACATACAGCCAAAAACACACTTAAAGACAAAAAAGTCAATGTTCTCGAGTGGCCCAGTCAAAGCCTGGGCGTCAGTCCAATTGAGAATCTATGGCAGGAATTGAAAATTGCTCCAGGAAATGAAAATCATTAATGGTCCTCATTCAGCTTGAGGGAGCTTGAGCAACTTGTGCAAGGACAAATGGGCAAAGATTTTGATGTCCAGATGTGTAAAGCTGGTAGAGACTTAGAGTAAACCAGAAGTCTCATGGCTGTAATTGCTGTCAGAGGTGCCTCTACCAAATGTTGACCCAAAGGGAGTGAATACTTAGACAATTAGTTATTTCCTTTTTTTAATTTAGGAGGATCTGAAGAATTTTGTTTTTATTTTGACATTTTAGAACATTTTGAATCGAACGATGTTTGGTTTAGGAAACATTTGGATTACTTCTCAGAATGACTGAGTAGATACAGTATGTCAAGGAATCCCAAAGAGGAGATGTATTTACTTTGACTTTTTTATTTCTGTTAATAGTTATGGGATGACCTTGCATAGTTATGTGTGTTCTGATTTTTGTGAACACAAAAATTTGGCTATTTTTTAGCAGTGAAAGACAAAATGTATTATTCTCAAATTAGACTCTAGAGAGTAAATTAGAGTTGTTTCAATCAGGGCCTTTAATCCCAATTTCACCCACGTAACATTGTGAAGTATTACAAGATTGGTGAATGTTACAAATGATTTATTTTTTCTTCCCACAGAGTTATTGTTATTCCCTCTGTGTATTCCATGTCTTACAGCACCTTCCGAATACAGAGTGTTCTCCAACGCAACATCGCAGTCTGTTCAGCTCTGTGGACCTCAGGAAAACCAAAGTCTAGTCCTGCAGGGCCTGCAGTAAAAAATAGTAGTTTAGGAAACAAAACAGCCACTCAACCCTGAGCTGTTTTTCCTCCTGAAATCGATAGAGTCAGGAAGATTTGTGAACTGAATGCTGGGTGAGAGGCAGTCAATCATGGCCTGACAAGCAATGCACCAAAAAACTTTGAATCAGCTTCAAAGCAGCATCTCCCCCTTTTGCCATACTGTGCTCCTATCACAACCCTCCATTATGAGGGTATAATAAACACACTTCCTGCTGTAATGCAATTTTAACCTTCCTGATGCCAAGCAGCTGAGGGGCAGCACAGAGGATGTGAAAATCCAATAGCTTCAGTGTTCATAGGTGATGAAACTTATCAACAGGTTTTCTCTCCTCACTGGGGATGACTCCCATTCTCTTGACAGAAACCAGAACAGGGGTCTATTTGATTCTGCCTAACATCAGAGTGAAACATCTGAAAATTAGACTGCATGTCTGAATGTGCTCTAGCTGTTAGACGCTGAAGGACGAACCCTCAGTCCCAATGAATGTTGAAACAATACAGATTTTGTTCAATCAAAAGTCCCCTCTTCAACATTTTTGTAAAATAAACTGAGTAGAATCTCAGAACATACAGAACATAACCAACCAGAGTTGTAATTAAGTGATTGGATAAGCTCAAAGAAACTTGTTGTTGCACACTTTAGCATGTATTGCCATTCTACAGTATGTGCAATGTAGAATAGCACCAAACAATGTTTTGCATTGATTAATGCTAATAAACTTGAATAATTAACAAATTGGATTACAATATGTCTACGGTTTTGATGGAAGAAGGAATCTTCATTCTGTTGCGTATGTGATTGCTGAACCTGGATAAAAAATAAGTGTTTAATATTACAAACATCATTGCTACATGTAATCTAATTTAGAACCAAACTCCAGGCTGCCTACTGCAATAATCATTCTCAAAGGAAGTATTGAGTGCTGTTCTTGAGAATGGTATTAGACTTTTCATGAATGAATTATCCACACATGAAGACTACAAGAGTGTATTTTAATCTGGCCCAGCCAAGATGATGAGACATTTTTAAATTACATTTTTTGCAAAATAAAAGATAAAGGTATTCAGCGTTTTTACACCATGAACTTTTTAAATGCATTGTGTAGACAGGACTTTGCTTTATCTTTCCATTAAAACAGTGTTGACTATGTTATCAACCAGGATTCATGGCCCTGAAATACAGTATGTACATTACTCAAAGAAAAGACTTTGAACACGGGCCACCTATCAGTTAATACAACAACCTCAGGTTTAATCCAGGAGCTCTCATACTAATATAGCATGTTTCCATTAAGCCATCTGAATCTGATAATCTGGAATCAGAAATAGCATTTGGTTTTTCTCCTTGGCTGAGCAAATGCACTCCATAGCACATCTTCTGCCGTCAAGCACATATAAAGAGATGTTAGATGTCTGATAATTCGAAAAGAGAAAAATCTCACCCAGTGAGTGAATAAATTGACGGGAGGAAATCCAGACATTTTCCGATGCATTTATGAGGAAACAGGTTTGAAATCTGTAGCCTTTTGGGTAATGAGGAATATTTAAAGTAAATGAAGCCATCTAAGCACAAATAAAACACCTCGATTTTCATCAGCAGTACTGATAAAAAAACAACACACGTATGCTCAAAAAATATAAAATAAACACAACATGCAGAGACACAGAGGAGTAAGCTTGATTGAGTTAGATGCAGGCAGTCCCTAAGCAACACACAGAACCATGAGCTCAAGGCTATGCTGAAACAACACACCAGCAGGTCAAGGCCTCTCCACAGCACACCACTCTTGCACAGTCCACACCAGCCACACACACGGTGTAGTGAGTCTCAGGAACCCTGGTACCTCCTGTTGACTGGAGGATTAAGAAAGCCCCCATGACTGGAGTGACCCCATGATCCCCAGGCAGTGCATTTCCTCCAGAACCAGGAGGCATGCTGTGAGTGAAAATACATACTGTGCAGGAGTGCAGCCTGATAGACGAGTTTTATGCACCAGCACAGATAGGTCTGATGTTATTATAGACTTAACAGAATAGCAACAATTCCCAATCCACACACCACAAGACCTGCAGAGCTGGAGGTGCATGAACAGCGCTGAAACTCTTCAACTGTTTATTCTGAAGTTGATTCCATTCCACAAACAGTCTACCCTTTTCTTTCCAGTTCTTTTCAGAAGAAAAATGTAACAGTTCTTTAGGAACGGTTGAAGACCTGTGGTCCTTAAGGGGTTATGGTCCCTCATTAACCAATAAGTGCTTGTAAGATTGTAATGTTATGAAAACATGCTTTAAAGTTAATGGGCCCACCACAGTTATAAATACATATGCAAGTGATTTTATGTTAAACTTATATATTTGTGATTCTGCAAAAAAATACAAAGTTTCAGCAGTGAACAAAAATGTGTCTTAGTTGAGGGAACTTGAAACTTGACTGTGTATTTCTTGGGTTGGAGTGAACACTAGCATCAAGAAACCACTGTGACCCTAAAAGACATTTGATCACTGCATCCAGAGAAGGAAGTCTAGATTTTCAGTTAGTGTACCTCTGCCCTCAGGGTGCTAGTAGCTTGTCTCATTACCATAAAAGATATACAGTAGTATGTCTTCTGCAGGTCTGTACACAGTCCAGCTGAAGCAATGTGTGTTGGGGAAGTGGTATGTTTTTGTGCCCAGTGTATATGGAATTCGACTGTATGTCCTGAAGTACCTGGCTGTGCCACAGGGTAGAGCAGGGATACGATTAACCAGCAGTGTTAATTGGAGCCCAGTCTGGAGAAAGCTTAATCTATTGTTGAGGTGCAACTGAAGGCCAGGTTGACTCCCTCACTTTACAGTACTCACCACAGTGAACACTTCAGTCCCTCTACACTGCCTGCGGGAGCAACAACCCATTCTCCTTCTTCCGAGTCTGATGTTCAGGCCCTCTGTAATGACTGCAGGAGAAATAACTCATTCTCCTTTGTGCAAGTCTGAAGCTGCTGCAAGCAAACAGCCTGCTCCTTCGCATGGCAGCAATGCCACTCCCTTGCACTGCCACCCATGTATCAGACCAGAGCATACTCTATCCGCTGCTTCTCATCAGTGAACACAGGCTTCAGCTGAGCCAACAAAGGACCCCCAAACACAGAAGAGTTTGTGCAGTCTTTATTACGTTCTACATCTCGCCTCAAGGAGAGTGGGCCTGACAGGGAACAAAGATCATTTCAGCAGAACACAAGAGACCACGCTGCAGTCTGATGCATTTGTCACTGTCCCGCCAGCTGCAATGTTTTAAAGTGCATTTCTGATTGACTTCTTTTCTTCTTACAACCTCCTAGTTTATAACGAAATCACTCTATAATACATTTTACAACTTAGTAGCAATTATTATAATTAGTATATATTTATAATTATATGTAACAGTATATTCTCAGTTTTTCTTACAGTATTGCACAAATTATACAACAGGAAGATACATGAGAATGCAGCAGTACAGGTTTGTCAGTCTGAAATACTTAATAAGGAAAAACAAAAAGCTTTCACAAAAAAAACGAATCATTTCATTCTGCAATACAGCATCCAGTCAGGAGAATGATGATTTATAACCTATTAAAGGATCGTCAGTCATCTTTGACATTCCTGGCTGTAAACAAAGTGTTTTATCGCACACAGTGTATGGAGGAAATGATTGTGGGAAGAGTGGAGTAATGCACGCACACAATAAAGACCATTCAGTCCTATTGCATATACAGTATAGGCTGAGATACTGAGCTTTTTGAAAAAGCTTAATGTCAAACCTGTTAAGTATGCAGCAGTCAAATCAGACCTCAGTATTGCGAATCACAACAATATAAATATAATTGGATCCTAGGAATATATTCTGCCACTTCAAGCTGCATTCTTTAAAAATCCCTCACTCCCATCTGACCATAGAGGCAAAGTGCTTTTACTTCTGTTTCTCTGGACTTATATAACATGGTTACCTGGTGAGACCCAGCAATAACAGTGTGGGTAACAGACTGAGGGGGAACTTGACTGCAGCCACACTCTGGGTCGGAAAGTGAGAGTAAACCAGTACTGTGAACTTCAAATGAGCGAATGTGAATACACTGGGTCAGGGGAAAACACTTCTGTAAAAGTGAAAGCTCAATAAGTATGTTTTAGTAAGTTTAAATTTAAAACTTAAATTTTATTTAAATTCAAAGCTGTTTGGAAAGACAAAACAGAACAGATTGTCATAAGTGCTCCATCATTTAGATACAAAGATCTGCTTTAATGGTATGGAAAATGCTGGAAGAATGAGATGATGCCAAAAAGAGGCAGGTGGTTCTCTGACCACGTTAGGCATGGTGAGAGGGACTTGCTACGGGTGAAGACAGCTGAACACTCCTGCCCTAGAGGGCCTCTCCTCTAGCAAGCACACACTCGCTCACTCACTCAAGCAGCCTTGGGGGTTAAGAGACAGACTGGACAGATTGATTCAGTCTCTTCTTGAAAGGCAGCAATGAGGGGGGCTCCTGCTGTCACTCACAGCTACAGGAATAGCGGGGGTGCCTGTCTACTCCCTTAGCCGCCTTAAAATCAATGTTCTCTTATTGACGCTCATCCTGGCATATTGAACAGAGGCCTGGAGACAATAGACCCCCTCTCGTTTTGCGCTCAATCAGTATTAATGAAGGTGTTCGAGTTGTGAAAAAGATGGCACCAAAAAGCGAGTTCAAAAAGTTTACTTCAGTGGTTGTGCAGGGAGCAGCCGAAGACCACATTTTCATTCTCTCTCCATGTTTCTGGAAATGCTGTGATATGTATTTCCTTCAAGGCCTAGGAAGCGGCACTGCACAGGGACAAAGACCGCCACAGGCAGAAGAACAGAATACAGCAACTAGGCTGCCGCTTCAAAAGGAAACGAAACCTGTTTTTTCTGTGTAGCTGTCAACTTCCATCTCACAGACCATGCTCCTGTACTCCTCTACAAGCAAGCACACTGACAGACCTGGGCATAAGAAGGATCTTTCTTTCCAGCTGTAGAACTGCGCACAGAAGCTCCTTCGAATATTGCAGACAAGGAGTCAATATCTGCAAAAGCCTTGTGAAAAAAAAAATCCCCAGTCACTATCCCATTTCTATAGCCCTGACAACAATTGAATTTCACTACCAGCTGTGTTTCAACATGCAACTGCAATGCGATAGATTTATATATCAGCTAATAAAAATACCCAACAATAGAAGCTGAATCTTCAGAGTAGATTACAAATTGATACTCCTTCAGCTGAACCTCATATTCAAAACAAGATAGAGAGCTTCGTCTCTCTGAAAACGAACAAATTACATTGAAATCTCCTATGTTATCCTCTCCTCTCCTGATACTGATGGAAAAAGACTTTATATAAAGAATCTTCCCTAAGTAAAAAAACATGCATCTTGGATCATACTGTTCTAATGCCTTCTACATTGGAATGACAAGCGGTGGACAAAAACTCTCTCTCTGTTCTTCCTTAAGAACACTGTGTTACACAGCCACATTCCCCACACTAAAAGGGTATGCTTAATCTTAAACACACCTACAAGCCCCGTTAAACACAGCACAATACACTAAGCTTCTCCTTACAGCAAAAGAAAAACTAGTTTGGGGATTTTAAGAGAACTTCTATATTTTAAAAGACTTTTTTCAAATGGAAAACACTTTTATTCAACTAATAAATCAGTTCATTAAAAAATAACATCTCTAATGCAGGCGTAAGATACTGTACAATCGAAAGAAAAAATAAATCAAATCATGAAACGAAAATGGTATTCAGTTCGAAAACAACAGAAACCCCAGGAAATATCTGGTAGGCTAAAAGAAACACAATTCTGTGCACCCTCAGTTCCTCTCAGTGTTGCCAACACAGTGAACAGTCCTTCTGTACCTTACCATCATTAACAACTTGCTTTACACAGCCTTTAACAGTAGCGGGAATACTGGTAACCCTAGCATTTATGACCTTATAAAACTCTACATAGACATTTGACTTTGTAACCCAAACAAGGGCATCACAGACCAGAAATGGACAAGGACTGAAAATATTCAGACTTCTTAAAGTTTTTAAATACATTGCTGCATCTTATCGGCAATATACTTCAAAAGTATTTTCTAACCAAATTCAGAATGGGTTTTCTGTACTGTGCCTGCAGGCAGTAGGGGCTGTCAGTAGCACTCTGCAGATATGAGTTTGAGAAAGACGACCAGGAGCTGAGATATGGAGATAGGTTTGGGGTGTCTGCACACCTGGAGGGCTAAAGGGCCTACAGGTTTGAGCTCCAAATTAAACTAAGTTTCAGAGTTCTGTTTTTTTTTTTGCTCAGCTAGACATTTTAAAATAACATCTCAAGGTCTTTTACAGCTGCTGATTTCAAATGTGTGCCGTATTAAAGGATGAGTCACTTTTAAATCATTCAGATCCAGAGGGACGCTGGATTTGTCAATTAGGCCAATGTGAGGTAATGGGTGGAAAGACAGCACAAAGACACTCCTGTCCTCTAGGAGATTAATAAGACGGTCCTAAAGACCAAGAGAAATGAAGCTGCAGCACAAGGCCTCTCCTTCACACAGAAAGGAGCTTGAGAGGAGGCAACCAGGGCAGTAACATCCCTCTTCTCCAGTGGAAATGAGAAAAAAGTCTTTCATCTGTGAGTCAGTTCCTGTTCTAGTTTCAGGTACAGCTAAACTACATTAACTATTTCAAGTGGGATTTTATATAAATAACAGGTTGTTGATGTAAACTCCCGGCAAATTTATAAACACCGTTAAACAAGAGCTCCTTATACAGTCAAGGATTAAAGTATATGTCTGTCAGACTGTGCAGCGTGAAACAGGTGGGATTTATAGATGCTGTAAAATGCCATATGCATTTAATACTTTTAAACAGCCTTTAAAAATGTTCCTCCTGATAAGTGGATTCAAGTTAATCATGCAAACAGTTTGAAGTGGACGTCTGATGGTTGTAAAAAGCAAATATGAACTGTCCTGCCTCTTTATGAGGAGATTTGCCCAATTTAATTGGACAGGCTCATCTGATCTGTCTGACTGCCTGCCATCTCTCAAAAATACACTTTACTGACACAGGGGAAGTACAAAATTCTACACAGTTTGCTGGGTTTTTAAAATTAAACAAACTCAAAAATACTGCATTCTGTTAAAAGTACTGGAGCCCATTCCTCCCAATTCTTAACACATGAAGCGTTGCAGTGTGTGCAGCACTGACTCTTTTTAATACAATGCTAAAAGATGCTTGCCCTAGAGAAAATGACTTTTCCAGTGCACACAAAAGTTCTGCATGCCAGTATTATGGATCCATGCAATATGGTAGGATGTCTCACCCCCCCTCCACACACACACAGACACACACAAAATGCTTCCCCAAATATCTCCCAAATGCAAGGCAGCTGTGTTATGTATGTTTTTTGTTAACTTTATCAACTGAGAACTTATAGCATTATTTCAATATTATATTAAACTAAAGGTTAGTAATAAATTAAAGTATTAAATCACTTGAGCTGTTTTTTAGACTGGACATATAAACGTCTTGCTGTGTGCTGTATATTTAAATCCTGGACATGCATAAACAACCACAGCGGCAGCCCTACAAAACCTACAGAGCCCTGTCCCATTAAAATGAGCAATATGAGAGATAATAGCTGTAAGAAGACATCAAGCACCAAATAAAACAGGTACAAGCACAGACTTATAGAGCAGAGCTTGGACTTGTGCCTTGTGGACTGAGCCTGATGCAAGACGCTGATGTTTATACCAGTGACAATAGGCATCATGTGTAAACTGTTGCTGGAGGTACTCATTCAAAGGAGGCAGGGCTTATTAATGCATAGTACGGTTCTAAGATTTGGTCACTCTTCTCTGCCTTCTACGCAATCTATGTAAATGACTCAGGCTTGCAGGGCATGTTATTTTTTGTTCTCTTTTGTTGAAGAGAGCATGGCTGGATTAAAACAAGCTGCTCTGCACATGACTGACAAATGCTGCTGACCCAGGCTCTGGAAAAACACACACTGTGCTCATAATCCCTGACATGTACATCACCCGATTTCTGGCACCAGCCCTCATCCGTGATTACGCTAACACGCTTATCTGAAGACAGCACAAAATAGCGCATGTAAAGTAGTGAATCACAAGGTCAGCCATCATTAGGTCTATACGGTCCATGTTAGCCTGCAGAGAAATGCATTATAAGCGTTGTTATTTACAGTGTACACTATGACACTTGCTCAGCACATTTATTCTCTGCTGACCACTGTAGTAAAAATAGCAATATTGGTAACATTCCTCTGAGGGCTCTCATCCAGTAGTGCATAAAAAGGGAAAGGAAATGCCTTAATTTGGGGAAGATGGGAAGCCTAAAAAGAGTGTGAGCCTGACAACTTCCATGAAGAGATGTCACTCAAACTGCTGTGCTTACACAGAGCCTAACCTCAGCGGTTCTCATAAATAAAAAGTCAACAAGAACAGCACTGTTACCTGGAGGGAACAGTATGGTACTCTGCAGATCTGTTCACAGAAAAAAGGACATTTTGCCAGATATTAGAGGAAAATTTCAGGATTAAATGCACCAGGCCAGGATAGCGGTTAACAGGTAAGCATTTTCCGAGCTGTGCAGCCCCAGTGTGCTGAACATCTAATAACACCACAGCTGCTACAAAGATCTCAGTTTATAATAACATGTCTTAATAAAACACTAGCTGTATTTGGGGGCTACATCATCCACAACTTCTTACAAGTTTCACAACATTAAATGAGCAACTGCTTACTTCCATTGAAAAACTGTTTCTTGGAATAGTACAAGAAGTTCTAAATAATGTTACCAAAATGTATTTTTCCCCAACACATTTGTGATGCCTGCTCCTTTCTGAAGTCAAAAAGTCAGTCAGAATACCGTGCAAGTTTTTCTTCCGAACACAGCTGCGGTTAACACAATTTATTTACAGTTCAATGGTTCCTACAAGGACTGTGGAAAGTTAAACATTTCAGAGGAAATAAGAGAAGAATTCACTCTTGAATATACTAGGTCTAAAACCACTTGACTAAATCTTGCTTAACCTTTGAGATGCCATATCGATTGTGACACACACTGAATCTGTCTGCGGCTGTCAAGACCTAGTCATTAAGCAAACGGTTTGTTACGTTAAGATTTTCACCCCAGAACAATCAAAACGCACCCTTCATTCTATCAAGGAACAGGACTACCCTTTAGTTTCAGAGCTTATGCAAGCAAACGCCAATATGCCAGACTGCTACATCTTGGAACTTTTTTTGAAACAATATACAAGATAAAGCTCCAAGTCCATAAAAATGTGAATCTCATACGTCACACACTAACCCCCATAGGAAGCAAGCAGACTTCAGTACATTCAGCAGGACATTCAGCAGGGATGAGGAAGCCACAGAGAGGAACATATTGAACTGTATTTCTGTTTTATGGCAGATAAGCTGTACTCTGTAGGGGAGAAACTGACAGAGAAACTACCAGGCACTGAACATGGAGGGAAGTTCTTGTTTCTGCAAGGAGATGTTACTTATTTAGTTTCTTCCTCATAGTTATGTTTAATCTACTGCAGTTTAAAAGGAAAATGACAATAAATGAAAACTTCTAAGACTGAGGTTTCAGCCCCAGGAGTGCGAACACAGGCAGCCAGACCTCACCCCGGAATGGCCTGCAGGCCTGGGAGTCAGTGGCCCTCCTCTTTTTGTGCATCGTCAAGGAAGTCAGTGAATCTTTGGCTTGGGGAGACGGGAGTGATTGGTGGGAAGCAGGTCCCTTGCTTTGAGAACGCCTTTCTCCTGGTCCTGCTGTGCTGCGATGTCTCTGCGCCCCAGGGGCCTGGAGTGGCCAATGGCCTGTGCTGCGCTTAAAGCCTGGGTGCCCTGGGAAGGAGGTGGGTGCTGTTTCACTTTCAGGTTCGCTGAAGAGTATGGTGCCAGCAGTCTGGAGGTGGCCTTGCTTCCTTCCTGCAGACTGCCTGCAGTCCCACACATACCCTCTTGCGGAAGGGCAGGGACGGACACTCTGGTGTAAAAGCGAGGCGGCTGCAGGATTCGTGGGGGTCCGTTGCCATGGATTCTCTGTGGAGCAGAAGCAGTAGTTGTCAAAGGCCCTCTAGGGGGGCCCGGGAGCAGGGCTGTCCCTGTGGGCCCAGGCTTAGCAGCAGAAGACATAGCACTGCTGACTTTGAGCCGTGTACTCAGGACCGGGCTGTGCTCGTCTGGGTCAGGTGCTGGGGCTGGTAGGTCTACAGCAGTGGCAGCAGCGGGATTGATGGTATCAGCAGAAGCATCTGGGCCGGAGTGAGAAGAAGGCTGCTCCTCAGCCCCGGCAGGCTCAGCACGGTCACTGTGGTCCTCTGTGGGGGCTGTTTTTGCTAGTCTTCCCTGGGCGAGGAGCTCGGTGCGGTAGCGGCTGGAAGGCTGTAGTATTTGAGGCTGGGAAAAGGAAAAAAAAAAACATTTCAGGGTTGAGTTGTTTAACATTTTACTCCTTCAATGCCAAAGCCTGGTTGTGGTAAAATGAATGCAAGGGAGTCAGTATCAGGTGTAACTGCTGCCTGCTTGGACACATATAGTCAGCCCCTCTAAACTCATCAACTTCAGAAAGCCAATCTTTCTGATGTGGTAAAAAATGCCCTGTCCTCACAAGACCATCTGGACCCTGAACATCCCACAGCCTTCCACAGCCAAAGTTGAGCACTCCTGTTGTAACTGAACAGACCTCTCACTAACTTAATTAAATTAAACTACAGGTGTGCTAATTACATGTGAAAAACCTGCTTGATTGTGCCTTCCCAGGACCAGTTTTGGTCACACCAGTTATATATTATTTTACTGCTGCATCTCTTTACAACAGATGCAGCTGGGGGAGCACACACCAGCAGCACACCACTGTTGCCCCACTTTAGAAAACAGCATCGCCAATTACCAAAAGGTTAATCCCAACAGTGAGGCCCTTAAGTTAACCCAGGCCCTTATTAACATTTAGAGTTTGCTTGTTAAGTAAAAAGATATGGCCATTTTTTGACCTCTAACACTTATGACTGTCTGTTAAATTCACAAAGGCTGTGAAACTCAAAGGGAATAATTCTTTCAGATTCTTCTATTCTTATGCAAAAAAAAAACACAGGTCCTCTACACCAGAGCTGTGGTCATTATGTGCAGAGTCTATAATTCCTTTGCACACTGACTGGAAGGCAATAACTTTGGGTCTGCTTGCATGCACTGCTCCATTTCACACTTTTTCTCAATGAGGGATTCCTTCTGTTGTGATTATTTCAGTCTCTTCTGAAGCTGAAATGAGATGGATATACCCTTAATAAAGTACATTTGATGTTAAAGCAGACAGCAAACCAAAAAAACATAAGATGCAAAAAAGAAAAATAAATACACATATATTACATAAATCCGGACAAACAAAACTGATGTTCTGTGCCTTCTAAATGAGGCGCGTGCAGTATACAGAGTACAACTCCAATCAATATTTATAAACCACAGTTGCTTGAGGCACTGCATACAAAGTTGCCGACCTAAAATTGAGATAACTTTGCTGGCTGGGTACACACCAGCCTTGTGCTCCAGCTTCTTGGACCAGCTGAACTGTACAACAGCGTGAACAAAAAGAATAGTTTATCATTTGCACAGTTCTCTCCTTGCACAATAGAAAAAAAGGAGTTGTTTGCTACTGGACCTCAGCAAATGATTTGGTTCCTCAGAACCAGTACACAGCGCCTTAAGCCACCCAGATGCTAGAACATCTAAAGGCTAGAGGAGGGGGTTATAAAGATCAACAGTGCGGTTATTTCATTTGTACGAATTACCCGTGCCAACGCAGCTGGGGCCCAACATGAACACATTTATTCTTTCTCTGGAGTGCTACACTATGGGCAGATATGTCAGCATAAAACAGCACCGACAACACAGAGGATCAGTAGATAAGATCCTACAACCAGCAGCCACAGCAAATGAGAAACAGTAGTAAGGTATTAACCCCTGCCCTCCCCAAAACTAATGATCTGCTGACATAAGTTTGCTTTTACCCCTCATCCATGGTGGGGAAATAATCATTACCTTAAAAAATCTGCTGAAATGTCAATCACACGTGAGAAGTGCTCATGGTGCTCACAGGATCAATACCAAGTGACCTCCTACAACAGCATAGATGTTCTCATCATTGCACACAGGATGAGGTAAGGCTTTCAAGTTTAAAGTAACACACTATGCAATGAAACACCTGAACCTTCATCACTGGTCTCCCTTTGCTCTATTGACTGGTCGTAATTTCTCACTGCAGTCTAAGGCTTTCCCTCCATTCCCTCTTTTCCAGTCCCGCAGCTTTGAGCAGAACAGGCAAACAGGTGCCGACACCCTGGGAAAGCTGCCTTGGCAGGACGCTAAAAGCAGCTACTGCCCACTCTCTGCCTTTCTCCCCTCACTCCTGCTGGGCTGTAATGAGGACTCCCCTCCCCAGGCCCTCAGTGCTTCTGCTCTGGGCCTCTCAGGAAACTTTTCAAAGTCTGTCTTGACAGGAGGCTTAAAGAAAGGGATGGTGGCCTTTAGCAGAGTTTCATAAATAATTTATAACTTCTCACAAGGATTAGGAAATGTGAGTTGATAAAGGTGACACAGCATTCCGGAGACAACTAGAGAGCAAACTTATAAAACCCAGCAGGTGTTTCAAGGAGGAAGTCACCTTGCATTCCCAGCTCCAAGACAGGACATTTACTGCTCAGATTTACAGGTAATTAGTACCATCTACTTTACTGCTGACACCACGATCGACCAGTTCTGTTTTGATGCAATTACTTAAAGAACAAACATTTGCTCAAAGTATATATTTTCACTCTAAAGATCCAAACAGGCATCAGAGAAATGGATGCCATTTACCTAAAAGCAATGGTACAAGTACACAGCACCTTAACAAAAGAGTTAAGCACATGATGAAATGAGACAGGGAGAGAATAAAAAATAAACTTGTTTTAAAGGTTTACACAGGACATGTACAGTATCTGGATTCCAGAGGGGCTGAACCCTAATGTGAGTAACAGATAGAGGGGGAAAAAAAGAAACACTTCATCAGAAACCAACAAAAAAAATGGTTGGTGCTGTGAACACTACCATAGCTGAAGTGCAGAATGTTTGCCTCTCCAGTGTCGTTTGAACTTAGAGCAACAAGGCTCTAAAAATGTGCCTTCACTACTCTGCAGAATGAGAAAGGGTACACCTCATAACCCACATGAGCGTGACATTTTCTAGGACACAGAAGGAACTGGGATCCTAGTCAAAGTTTTTCAACATTGAAATCAGCTATACAAAACTGGAGTTTCCACTTCCAAGCAAACTGCTAGACAGCAAAAATAAAAAATTGATATTATTGTGGTTTCTTACCTTCTAAATAACTGCCACTAAGACATATACACTGTTACACGATGCATAAGCACTCCTTTAAGCAAATAAATATGCAGAAAATGCAGTCAATAGAATGTTCCAAAGTTCAACCATTGAACCATTGAATATTGAATAGGACCACAATTAAAATTCTTGACTGCCTTCAGGATAAAAATTAACTCACAGATGATCGCAATGAAAATCAAAATCTTCATTGATGTTTAACAGGCTCCACACAGCTTAAAAATAACAGAGCGGTGTTTGAGGAGAACCTAAGCAACAGTCTACACATGAAGCTGGAAATGCTGGAAGGAGGCGGTGATTGATCCGCAGCCCGAGAGAACCGATACATCCGGCAAACTGTTTTTTTCCCCAGCCCACGAACAGGGAGCTGGAGCAGGAAAGGAGGAAGAGAGACGGAATGAAAGAGGGGAAGGGAGGCGAACCTATGATCGTTATTAAGAACGGAAGAAGGTACGGTGATCAACAGAAAACAAAGAGGGTGAAAAATGTGTGGGAAGAGGCTGACACACTGGCACACAGCACACAGACAGGTCTGTGCAGATCCACCAAACACAGATAAGCAGGGAAGGACTGGCCAGGCTCCTGTGGGCGCTGCAAGCTGACTCAGTCCATGCAGAGAGCAGGGAAGAGCGCATGCTTCATCGTGCAGGGGCAGGGCTGGGGCAGGGTTAGAGAGAAATCTGAAACGGTACTGTACCACGCTTTATCACGGAAGTAATGCACTAGTTCCTCCACTCCTTGCCAAGGGCATTATGGGGAGAAGCAAAGGGAGAGAAACAACAAGGACAATGGCATCACACGAGAGGCAAACATACAGTAGCAGGATTGAGCGCCAGAGGCAGCAACAGAGCTAGAGAGAGGGGCAGCTACAGTATGTTAGTCAAAATCCCGCCACCCCAAACCTGCATAATGCACACACACTTGCACACATACACACTCGCTGTGCACACCCCGACAGCATAAATACATGCACTCATTCAGGCACACAGACTTTGATGCACAGTTCAAAATTAGTCCAGATAAAACCCAGTTCAAAGCCCCAGTAATGGATTGCTCATGTATTTTAACCAAGCTTTCCTGTCTTCTAGCAAATTGACTTTTCTGCCTAGAGAGGTCACTGCCCCACATAGATACCTTTAAAGCTATGAATTCTACAGCATCATCTGTCTTTATTTCCATGCGACACTGAATCCTATGCAGGCTGTTAATTTCATAATAAAATTAAAGATGGACAAAGAGAGACCAGGGCTTAGTGTGCAATTTTAGTGAATCAGACCAGTTTATTATGGAAGTAAAACAGCTGTTTTAGTGGAGGAAAGAAATGTTGCTTAAAAAACAAGGGCCTTCGATGTTGCCCCTTAGAATGAATGCTGGGAGCCCCTGTCCCAGGCTGCCTGGTGTGTTGCATGTGTATCCCATGGAGCACATGGAAGACAAGATCAAAAGAGCTGTGTAACAAAATAATCTCTCCACCCCTAACCTCACCCCCTTTCTCCCACTCCATCCTCCTCTTCCTGGATTGGTTTCCCAGTATCTAGGATAGTTAATTCACTATTGTGTACTAACATAGCTTTTAATACCTATGTTCCCCCTCCCCTGTCAAAATGCTTTTCCCCCTCCGTCTTGTATTTCTCGGAGTCTGAATCCTCTCAAGGAGAAGCAGATGAATCAAATCCATGTTAAGAACTTGAAATGTTAATTTAAAAAGATATTGGTTTTCATCGCCTGGAGATGGGAGACTCAATACACACAAAGCAGTTCAGGTAATCAAAGGGCACATGTGAATTTAGCTTGGTTGTTCCTCCGGCCAAATTAATTACAGAGAGCTAGTAAGCAGTGTGCTGGGACTGAGGTGTGCCTGGCTAATTCTAATTCAAATATGTGATTCAACGGACATGGTCCAATAATTAAAGTATGTTAGTCTGCTATGGAAATGCTCCATATCCAGCTTTTAACACTTAGACTCAAATACTCATGACTCAGGAGATCACTATTGACTGTTTTTCAGTATGAGGAAAAAGGTGGATTGTGCCTGATGGCCGAGCCTGGAGAAAACATCTGGACAGGGAGAGGCAAAGGAGGAAATAACATGAGTTACTTCAGAAAGACAAAAGGGAAACTGACAATGTGGTCTGAACTCATTATCAGCATTGTAAGAACTGAGCTAATGTTTTACAGCACTGCGGGCTGTATGCATTTTCATAATGCCAAACACTGGCAGCAGGGAAGCAAATTACACGCAGATCTAAATAGTCCAGGTCTATAGAAATAGAAGAACAAATACGTGAAACAGACATTTCTGATTTCGTAAGCCAGATTAATGAGTTTTTAATTCTACTACAAATATTGGTTCCATTTAGAAACTGAAATAAAGACAAACCACAACAGAGACAAACAGACAAAACATTTTTGTATCTAATTCCAATGTTTCGATCCACAATCCTAATCACAATTCGACAGGACATCTTCTTGCTGCGAAATCTGTAATTCTGTTTCTCCCGATGTATAGATTTCCGAACACGTTAAATGAATCTTTCGCAACAAGAATCAAGTTTTCAGTATTTCTGGAGACCTGAACTCTACAGACCCACATAGCATGCCCCGTGGCCCTAATCACTTTTAGCTTTAATACTGATATTATTGTTAGTCTGGAAGATAATATGATTGGTTTACCTTAGACTGTCTTTACTAGTGATGTAAGTTTTTTTATTCTTCATGATAAAAATGTAGAGCACTGAAAACCTTTGAACGGTATGATGGGAGGTTTCTATCCCCAGTGGTGGAATTCAGGAGAGGAAACTGCGCTTCTCATTCGTGTATTTGTTCTCGTGACAAAGGCCCCAAGACTGACCGCACGCCAGGTTGTGCCGGCAGGGCTCCAGTGGAACTCAGCTCCATGTCCGGGGGAGGAGTGGAAACTGCACGACAGGGCAGCTGAAGAAGGGGGGTTGGGGGGGGGGGCAGAGTGGTGGTGTAGAGAGAGACTTGAGGGCAGACTGGGGGTGGTGTTAGTGGACTCACTCTGTCTGCGGTGTGGAGCGCTGGCCCTGGGCGTCCCCTGGTACGAGCCCTGCCAGGGAGAGAAGAAGGGAGCAGGCAGCACACCCTGCGCAGAGAAAACAGAAGGGGAGAGGCGTGACACACACAGAGAACCCACGGCCGCACTCGCCCTCCGCGGAAGTGTTAGCGTGCAACGCGACATGACGTTAAGAGAGCAGCCCAGCCTCGCACAGGCCTCTTCAAGAAAGATAGATGTCGGACGTAGATCTCCATTCCAAAATGCATGCGTCGCTGGACTGGCATGTTCTCAGCTCGTACTTTGTACTCGAAACAGGAGTTATTGAAGCACCCATGCAAATCTTTAGACAATACCCTAACCACAAAACTCAGCAGGTATGTGCAGGCCACAGGAGTCATGAAAATCCAGATGGTTTTAAGTTTTTATGTTAGCACACTGTTTTGCAGTAAGCTAGGCTGTAACCCTCCTGCGTGTGTGGAGCATTAACCTACCCTCTACCCATCTTGAGCATTACACAACGCACACTGAGACAGAAGAGTGTGTCTTCTGCTCTTCACTACTCTAACAAAGCCTTATTGTTCAGCAATCTCCACTGCTCCTGCTGCTACACATCCTGCAGCCATTCCTTGAGCATCTACTGTACTACCCATCTGATTCAATTTGAAGCTTCCAAAAGTGCTTTGAGATTGCCTCACCACAAAGAGACAGAAGTTTGACTAAATGAAGTATAAACGTGAACTGATTCAAGAAAAAAGACTTATTACATATACATTACAAAGACCAACTTCATGCCAACCCCTTACAAAGCAAAGTGTCCAAATAAATCATGAAATAAAGTGTGAAAATCATAGTTTATCTCTAGATTCATAGCCTTTTTATATCAAGGTCTCTAAAACCATAAAAGCTTCCTAAGTGCTCACAAAGAAACTTTTAAATTCCATAACTTTTCAGTCCTGTACAGAATGGTGAAGGAAGCAACTTCAATTGATCCTGTCAAAGCTGTTAGCTTCCAAGGTCTTGGTGTACTGTGTACTATCCTGTCTGGCGTAGCACAGAAGTTGACAGCCTGAACAGAAGACTACCCCCTTTCTCCCCTTTTTGATTAGTTCAGAGGAGGTGGAGGATATTTAGGAAGCTTTGCTAGAAAGGGGGCCTCTAGTTGTCTGTCAGAAGACTCTGGCCTTTTCCACTGTATTAACCCTGAAGTTTAAATTCACTCACATGCAAAATAAACAGGCTGTTAAGACACTTGAGCAAAACCCCAGTGCTTGATTTCACAACAGGCTAGACACAACTCAAAACACTTTTTGTGCTTCTATTTTCTCATGATGAATGAGGCATGTAATTGTTTGGGAATTGTTTTGTACTCACAAAACATCACAGCAGCAAGTATGCAGTTTTCTACAGCTGACTGCAAGCCACAGCCGTCCTTTCCAGATGCACTCCAGAGCAGAAGCTTGCTTTTCCCCCTGTCTGTCATTTGATTGGAAAATGAGCTTGTTTGTGAGTGTGAATGTGTACCACTTAATAAATGGCCAACTTTCTGATGAGCCCAAATGCAGGATTTAGATTAGAGTATCATCAGTGAATTGTAAGATGCCCAACCTGAGATACAGCTGAGAACGAGTGACAATCAAGAAGTAATCTCGTTTCACGGTATTTTGGCAGCATCTTAAATTGAGCAAATCTGTACTTTGAAGGAACTTGCAGTGGCGGATACAGAATTTACTCCCAGGAGAATGCAGGCTATTTTCTGTTCCCTTCCAGGGCCGTCGCAGTTGATTCAGCGCGTGAACACATTTGATGCCTGGGTGTAAAACCCAATTATATTCAAACTCCACTCCAAAGCCACCTGCAAAGGCTCCATTTAAAGAGGAGAAAATTCAAAATGAAAGGAAAACCTCTTTTATTCTGGAGGCTGGAATTTGACAGGTGTTGTTATTGTGCCATCTGAGCAACCTTTAGAATTTTCTTGGTTATAATAATAATAATAATTGTAAAAAACTTTATTTTATATAGCGCCTTTAAAGGTGGCTTCTCAAGGTGTTTAAAAAGAAAGAACTTTGTTGAACTTTGTACTTATTATTGCTGCAATTGCAAATACATCCATTATAGCATCAATAATAATTCAATAATGGTGCTGTTGCTCTAATGTATTTTTTACACAGCAAAGCAAATGTATTCCACTTTCCTTTAATCCTCCACCTTTATTCCACTTTGAGCACAACACTCTACTCCTCTTTTCCTTTCTTTTTCAACATCTATAGCCAGTAACAGGACCAATTATTCCTGCAGGGAAGAGCTTTTATGAATGAGAGCCACACACTGCTTGTGTTGTATGGTTCTATGTGCCTGTGTGCGAAGGAGGCATTTTTAAAGCCAGTTAAATGCTAAGTACGTGAAACACACATGCAAGGTTAGGTAAAGATCACATGGCACTGTAAGTCACTGATGGGAGTTTCCAGTCCTTCCCAGTTTTGCTGTTAATAAGGGAGATGAGAGAATGAATGGCTGAATGAACACATGGATGGTTTTTAAATACATGGGCTGTTTTTCATTTGACGTTTAGTATTTTTTCTTTCCCAGAACTCAAGAGTGTCCCCTGGTGGAGAAACCAGACTAAGACATTCTATGATTCTAGTGTTCCACAACAGCACATTATGAAGGAACACCAGCCTTATATTGGTACACTGTTCAGCAGACAGACATACCCTTGTCTGCATTCTTGTACTGTTCACAAAAAATAAATCAGGCCAGGCTGAAAGACACACATACATCTAGATGAATGAACACACACATATCAGCACAGAAATTTTAAGCTTTACCCCACGACAATTGACATTTCAGTTTTTTATTTGCTTTTTGACATTAAAACTCACTACGTTCACAGAAATTAAAATCTGAACAGAGGATCAGTACAGTATATGATATCACAGCTATAGGGGGTTTACATCACCATCCTTATAAAAGGAGGAAACTGCATGTCACTTTGCAAGGGTGGCCAGTTCTGTCTCCACAAAATACACACACACACAAAGCTGCAGCCTCTATAACACTGGACTTCCCAATCATCTCTCCAATGCCATTCCACTGTAATTAGCTACAGAAACCAGCTGTCAGAGGGAAGCTGAGGTGCATGTAGAAATGCCCTCCAGGTGCTCTCTGGTCACACTAAGCAACTCAGCTACACTTGGGAAAAAGATCATGCAAATGCCCTTCCTGCTTTGAATATAAAACCCTGAGACACACTGCCTCCCCCTGCTGCATCGCTGTCAATAAAACAAACACGCCATCCATCCTGCTGCAGCACTGATCATAATACACAGGCACAAGCTCAGGGTACCGCTGGGCTTTCAACTCCTCTGAAAACACACAGAAAGGCCCACTCAAACAGAATTATGGAAAGCATGTACTCAAGCCCTAAACTCTGTTTGACTCCAGATTCAAAAGCTGGCTTCAAAAAGACCTTTTTTTCTGCCATTGTCATCGTCTAATACTTGATTTTATTTGGGTCCGTTGCTCTTATTTTAAAAAATTAATTCCTTTTCCTCTTATCAGCATCTATAGCAAGTGTGTGTTACCATTTATTTTCTGACCTTTCAAAGCAATTGCGTTTAGCCTTGCTAAAGTGAAATGTCAAGGCTATCACGCTCTGCGTTTGTTTTTAGGGAGGTTTTCCCTTCAAATGGCATCTGTTCTTTAAAAAAAAAACGAATGAAAGAAAATGCTTTAATTTCAATTCACCTGGCTTATCTCCGAGCCTGCCGCCGGAGCTGTGCAGCTGAGCAGTGCAAAATTCAATTAGAATAATGTAGTATCAGCGCTGTGCCACTGGCTGTTGCACATTATTACAACTGCACAGAAGCTTATCTGCAGCTCTCCAACAAGCACAAGGCGCACACAGCTCCCGCCCAGCATGCTATGTTCGTAAATAATTTTATTGCCCCATTCAGGTAAGCCAATAAATGAGGCTGTAAATCACAGCCCTGGAGCAGTTCCAATTTCTCCTCCTTTTCCTGACTTACTGTAAATTTCACTAAAAAAGTAAATAAAGTCCTAAAATAAAAACTAAATAAAACACATCTAGGTTCATAAGTTATAACTATCGCTGCATCTTGACTCAGCATGGCCCCGGTATTCCTTCACACAGCACGTATCCTTTATTGTGGAGTAAAATGAATGCGTTACTTATTATGAGACATAGATCAAGTAAACTCTTCGTTTAGAATCTAATCACACGGCTGGCTCTTCACTGAACATACCCGTCCATCATATCAAAAGCACAAGCAGTGTGCCAAGGTAATTTCAGTACTGCTGCCACTGGAATTTGTGCTGTTCATTGCAATGCATGTTGTATCATTGCCTTGTAAACAAAGGCCATTCATCTACTGAACCCTGAAAGATTTATCCTTGTGTGTCATTAGTGAAATTGCCCTGATTTATTTCCCCAGACTCAGCCACGAGTTCCTTTCATCAGAGCACAACGGCCAGCCAGTCCACACGTGCCTGTTCATCATAGTCAGCACAACACGAGGTCTGACAAAGCTATGTGGGAAGCATGGTTTAATAATCCACAGGGCGCCGCAGCTCTCTGGAACCAGTAACACTACTGGAAAAACATACTGGCAAAAGAACTAGACTCTTCCAGTAGGGTGGTATTTATATTATCAAAAAATTACTTCTGCTTATAAAATCCATAATAAATTGTCACATCAAAGGCTTTTTTTTAATTATACTGTTCATGCACACTGAAACAAGCATATGGAACCAAATCTCCCTGCTGGAGATTTTCAGGATTTCTGAGGGTACTGGGCTCTGGACCTGGGGCTTGTGTCCAGCAGCCCAGCAGATGACAACACAGGAGCTGAGCGATAACCCAGCACCCCTGCCTGTGGGGGGCTCATCACTCTGCTGTCACACTGACAGAGGCTCACCAATTCATCTCTCCGCCACTCCACACTGGAGGACTGCACAGAGGGCGACTGCCGCCGCAGTATTAACAGAGCATTAGTGGAAGCCATGCTCAGGCTGAGGATGACAGAAGAGATGAAGAGGTGAAAAACGAAGACACAGGAAATCTTAAGAGTTGTGCAGCACAGAGTGAGACCTGTACAGGCAAGGCAGCGCCATTTCCTCTCTTGCTGGGTGACGTGGATAGAGGAAGGCACAGTGATGGGAAGATGAGATAGGCTGCAGACAAAATAATAAAGAGCAGAACTCACGGCGTTCCCTCTCCAGGGGGTTTGGGTGGCCTTGTCCTGATGTGTGCGCCTCTCGGTCTTCACCTCTGGCACTCTGTGCTGACAGTGACATCTCGCAGGCTGGGCGAGCACAGACTGAGGTGAGAAAGCAAAAATAAAATAATTTGTTTTGCATTCTGCCAGGTAGGGACCAAATAATTCTGATTACAACGGTCACACTGCACCACCCTTCCAACAAGGACTGCTAAAAGGCAAAAAACTATATCAAGCAGTTCCAGTGAACCTCCACAGGAGATGAAAAAGACTTCAAAACTTCAAAAATTAGAAGTTGTAAAAGTTGTAAAACTGCAAAGAGCTATCATGTCCACCCTTCTTTCAGTGTGAAGAACAGACTTGCTCCTTCAGCAGTTAGGTCTCATATGTTAGTTTGACAGCTATTAGTGAAACACAGAGTGTCATGATTGAGAACCTTCCATTTTCTAAGTGCAGCAGAGAATTCTGGTCCTCTAGTTCAGATGTATAAACCAGTCTAACCAGAGGGTAAAGATGTAAAGACCTAGTCCTGTTGACCCACACACGTATTGGTTTGTGGTTCTGTCGAGCCATCCGTTACTCAATTATACCTTTCATTCACTTAATAGTAAGATTGATTTAAACTGTTTCTAGATCTTAAATATGTTGGACCTTATAAATTCCCAAAATTGGAAAGAAATAAAATCCCAAACTTGTGACTAGAAACAAAATGCAACTGAAGCAACTTATTAGATCAACTAAGGCTTCAATTACCTAATGAAGGTGGGATGGAATGAAAACCAGCAGATGTGCGGGTCACCAGGACCAGGACTGGGAACCACTGGATTAAAAAATGGGATGTTTCACTTAAGTCACACCTGAAAAAGTAACTAATAAAAGAAGGTGTTGCTGATACCACTGTGTTGTGGAGCAAAGTATAAAAAAGCTAAATCTAGCATTAGGAACTGAGGAAATCATAAGAATATGACCCATTACAAAATCTAAAATACAGAGATAAATAAAAAATGACACTTTGCCACAGCAGTAGAGCTACTGACACTTTCGGGACATTACAGCTGCATTTCCAGCTGCCAAATACACTCAGCGCCCTCCTGCTCTGCACTGAGGGCTTACATTCGGAAAGTAATAAGGAACACACAGTGATCATACAGCTGGCACTTTACCTGAGAATACATTCAGTATTAACTCCACTCTATCAAAAACTAATGTTTGCGTTACGTAATGCTGAAAGTATTTGCCTTTAATAAGAAAATCTGGAACAGCAATCAGTTTACAGAGACTGGCTAAAAGGCTACGAGCACTGTCACAACCAGATGGAGAGTCTGGAAGCCCGTGAGTCAGTGAGAAGGTGTTCTCTTAAAGAAAAGTTAAATACAAGCAAGGCGAACGAAGTGTTCTCTCCAACTATCCGGATTTATCCTACTGACTGCAGTCACCAATGTACAGACCATTTATAATTAACACTGCTGTAGCGACCCCCGTAACCACACTCTGCAGCATACTGCGCACTCCGCGCTCAGATGTCTTGTTACTATGGCTACCTGAGAATGAGCAAAATAATAAATAAATAACCTCAGGAGGATGAAAAACATAAAAGGAAATAAAAGAAAGGGAAAAAAAAGGAAAGGAGAAAATGCTCTGAACTGGACAGCAATGCTTTCAAGAGCAGCAGTAAACCAAAAAGCATTATGGAGAGCTCTTTATAGGTAATATTCCTCAATAAATCTGGCTCGCTCCCGGCCTTGACAGAGCTTATTTAATGGCTGTTAGAAATGTGAAAGCCTCACCCTTGCCCAACTGTGGGCTGCAGATTGGGGTGGCTGCTCTCGGCTTAAGAGCCTGCTTGGAATTTGCCGGCTCGGGTTAAGCAGGAGCAAGTCCAATCCACCACGACCAGACCGAGCTGGCTTCACATTGAGCACAGCGGCTTCCTCGTTGCATTACAGTTACTAAAAGGCAGCCTGCTGTCAATTGGCTTGATGATGATCACTTTAATTTCCTTTCCACTTTACAGGCAGCATGGGGCTTTCGGAGAACAGGGTGTCAATAGTTGCCCATTAGATAGATATTATCAGCAGGTCGGCATTACCTGGCAGAGGAGCACTGAGAAACGGAGCAGCAAACTGTGTTCAGATGAGAAGAGGCAGCTTTCTAGTCAGCACAGCACCTGGTAAGCGTGAGAGGGCGCACTGCCTATCGTGATTTTAATAAATATCAGCATGGTTTTCTGCTGGGAAGTGGTACAATTAACCTATTTTCATCGTGCTGCTAGAGTGGAGGCAGCGTTGGAGCCAGGCGAAGAGCAGAACGAATAAGGTCACAAGCCCTCAGGTGCTCTCTCCCCCCACCAGCAGTCCATCAACAGCAGCGGCTAACATCCATGGTCCAGACATACTGACCCTTCCTCGCACTAAGAAACCCAATCCGGTTCTCTCACCGCTTGCTGCCTCAGCTGTTCAATGGTCTGATCTTTACTCTTCAGCTCCTCCTTCAGCTGCTGAACTTCCTTCATTAGCTCCTCCACCTGGTAGACAGATTACATACATGTCAGGTAAAACAGGCAGACAAATGTTTGACAATGCCCATTGCCTAAAGGCTAGACCAAACTACTATTTATCATGGGACACAGCTGCTCAAAGCTCAACCCCAGATGCCTTTTTTCTGGGACACTGACCAGTCTGTACACTTAGTTCCCATGTCTCAAACCTTTATACGCTCTGAGCTAAAAGCATATGTGACAAACCCAGTCAGGTTGCACCATGACCTGGAGAATCCAGAGTTTGGGATCAGAAAATTCTAGTGGCATCCCAATCATTAACTGGTCCCCAATAAACAAGGCAAAGGTGTTTATGATGTGTAGCACAGTGGATGTGTATAAAACATGAACCACTGGAGGAGGTGGATGGTCTTGATAAAAATCAAACTAACATGCTGAAATAAATAAATAAAACCCCTGTACTTCTAAAACATTTGTGAGAGCCATCCATGAAGTTTTAATAAGACTGGTGAGAACTCTGCTCTTTACCTGCAGGGCTAAAAGCTGTGCTGAATTCTGATATGAAATGGAACTGGCAAGGGACCTGCCTACCCGAATACCAGACAGTTCTTTACAAGGATCCTCCAGTTTTAATGTTTGCAGCTACAGAGGCAGGCAGTGCCTGTAAGTCAGAGGGGTGATGAGTTTCATAAAAAATGAATTGTGGCCTCTGCTCCTGTTCAGTTTCCTTCCAGCGAATGTTGAGGAATATGCAGCTGGAGAGCAGCTAGTTGTGCGGTGAGGGGAGGAGAGGAGGCGGGCCCTTGTTAGAGCAATTATTGGGAGTCTAATCCAGTGTCTTGTGATCAGGGAGTTTGTCAAGCTCAACGTGGCAGTCTAGGAGAGACAGTGTTCAGGGAATTATATGTATAAACAGAACTGTAATTTACCTCTGTTTATGAATGGTTTTGAGGACTGAATAAAAGCTTAGCTGTGGCCAGACGTGAGGTAACGCATGTTTAGAACAGGTGACCAGGCTTCCTGCCACTGGAACTGGAACTTTTCCAGCTGGAAAACCAGCTGGAACTTTTCAGGCTTTCTGGACTTTCTCCAGGTAGAGTTCAGAGCTGCTGAACACTCCGAGTTATCCTGTGCTTCACCTCTGTGACAGCTCTGCCTCATTCCTTCAGAGGCTCTTCAACTTTACAACACCATTTAGGATTATATTTTAGAATTCTCCACGGAGCACAACTACATAGCTGTGTCTTCTCATTCCACCTGGTGTTACAGATAATGATTTTTAACACCTGAGAACAGAATCTTACATCCATAATAACTCAAACACAACCCGACTAGGTCCTGAAGGGCCAAAGAGTACAGGGATCAGCAGCAAGGCTGAAAACTACCGGAAGCCAAAAACTGAGGCTTCCTTATGTCAGTTCGTTATCTTAATCTGGGTTTGATTTCAAGTTCCTGTTGCATCCCCACTTTTCACCGGACAAACTAAATCAAAAACAACAGTTGAACATGTTGTTCCTTTCAAGACATCAGCATCAGGTCTCCTGTCAACCAAGGCTTTAAAAAGAGGTACAGTATATCTCAAGAGACTTACATCAAAACTAGTCAAATTAATTCTTGGTATACATACAATTGCTTTTGCAAAACACCTTTCTAAGTATTGTTCTAAAATATATTTTTTTCCATACTGCTAAACAATATTTAGCATAAAATATTACACCTCACAGAAGTATTAAGGATTGATTTGTGGACTATTATAGAGCATTCTGATCACTACAAGAGAGCTGTGAAGTGGTGGCATAAAATCCTTCTTTGAATGTCCCTTCACCTCCCTGAAACCTGGACTCCTGTTCTCTTATTCTGAAACTGCACACTGGTAGGAACAAAGATTCCACATGCCCACATTTGATGTTCCCTCACTAGTCACGCGTTTTGCCGTTTAATTTTTACAAAAAAGTGCTGGCTAAGCAAACTGGTTACAGGACCTAATTTACCACTTAAAGTATACATTGTTTATTTTAGACCCATTTATTTATAAAAAAAAATCACTCCACATACCCCCTCCCCACTCTGTGTTGAGAACTGTGTAATATACAAGCGGTCTCATTAAGCTTCGCCATGCACTGACGGCTCCCTGGTGCTCCAGGATTATATACCTAGCTTCATTAGTCCTCTGGGCTACATCAGACACCATGGGTGGTGTACTGCAATGTGCTACACTGTAGCACATCTGGAAGGATAACATACTCAACATATTAATGTGCCCATGCCTGTTTCTGAGTTCTTCTGCTGTTCAGGTACGTATATTAAGTGTGGATGGGTGCCAGAATAGTAAATTAATCCATGCACTGTGCTACCCTAAACGTTTTCTAATGAAAGATAAGAAATAAAGCATGACATGGATTGGAAAGACTCTTGGCACCCTTCCTTGACCACTAGTTTCTAGCTTTTACATTCAGAAGGGAATAAATATTGGCGCTTTAGCCCGTATACAATACAATCGTAAAAATGAAATGCATCCATAATATCTGAATCAAAGTGCCTATCTTTTTTTCTTTAATATAAAGGATGGCTTAGATGGAATATTAAACCGGCATTGTTTTTAAATTGTTTGGCTAATGTCAGGTCAAACTCATGAAATTTACAGTACTTGGGTAAGGAGCGATTGTAATGACAGTGGACCACAGCAGTCTTCTCTTAGTGTGACCAATTGTGTCAAGGTTTTCTTTAGGTTGATCTCACCTGCAGGGGAACCCTGGAGTCTTCCAGAGGATCAGGACTTGAGGCTCCAGACAGGTGGGAATCCTGGACAGTACCACCATCTCCCATCTGTGCAGACAGACAAACAGAATGAAATAGAGCAAAGTCGGGTCTCAAGTACACATGAGCTTGTGAAGACTTGCAGCCCGGAATGTTGGCTTTGCCTAGACTGTCCACAAACACATACATTTTCATCTGTTTTTATGCAAATCGTTACATTTTGACTTCAATTCAGAATGTATCTTCGCAAAGCTACAAAAGAATGTTGAAACAAAGGAAAAAAATCATTTTCCCCCATTCATTACAGAACATTAAAGCTAAATAAACAAGCAAAATCCCTTCCATTATAAAGAACAGCAGAGTATGTAGCAATAAGTAATTCTCCTTAAGAGGCTTAATTATAACATACAAAAAGCACAGGCACTATTTTTTAATTAAGCCCTGACACCGATAGTCAATGAATTAATTTGTGCAATAGTACTTGAAATTAGCTTCCTCAAATGCAGAGCAAGCAATTCAAAGGGCAGGTTTTATTACAAGAGGCAGTCAGAAGGCCCTGGATGTATTTCCTTAGTGCGATGAGTCAGAACAGTCTCTGGCTCACTGCCTCCACATGCTCAACTAACCCACAGCAACGTCCTGAACCCTGCGTCACTCATACGTAAACAGATAAATGGCGACATTACACTTGCACAGTCCTTCCAGTCTCTTGGTCTAGGCAAGTACATTTAATATCTATCACTCCATTAAAATGGCCATATCAGAATCTAGCAATGGATGCAATGGGTAGAGTCTATATTTGACGACTGCTATACTAGTGTTACAGTTATCTAAAACATGAATAGCTTTCGAAGTATTACAAATTCAAAATGTTGAGAAATTACATTCTGACACACCACTAACAGTCTGGCTGCAGCCTGGCTTCAGGTGTACATGCTTGATATGAACAAGATCATCAAAGTCACCACCACCAACATCGAGACTCGAGAAAATCAGATTATGATTTTTTTTTCCTAAAAAATACAAATTTCTGTCCTGAATACATCTTCTTGCCTCTTTCCTGGTGTGCAAAGCTCTACCCAAGAGTATTTTGCACAGCTCAGCATGGTAAAAAATTTTTCCCTCATGTACTCCTTTTTCCATGAACATAAAGGTCTGTTATAGGAAATACATTCAGAAAGGTTGAAAGCGAATGCAATGTTATGAACAATTACACTGTGTGCCACTCTGAATATTAAGACTGCTCCTTAAAATGGCCATATTTTATTTTTAGCCTTAATGACGTAATGCAATATGTCATTTACACAGCACACTGTGTACTAAAGCAGCTACAGATGTTATGTTAAAAGCCACACCTGACTGCACACTGGTACAGACAGGCAAGCACCTACATTTTGTGCCTGAGCAGAGAGCAGACTGAAGACACAGTACAGGCATTGCCCCAGGAGTGAGCATGATGTGAAACTGCCATTAGTACTCCAACAACAGAGGCAAAAGGAACTGCCCGCAGTCTACAGATGCAGAGAGCCAACCTGCTGCCCAGAACAATGCAGAAGGACAAGGACAGCGAGAAGGGATGCATGGTCAACCCCAACAATTTCTTTCTTTCCTCAGACGGTTGGAGATCGCAGACTGGGAGAAAGTTTTATTCTGTCATCTGCTTGGTTTAGGTCAGGTAGGAGTGGATGTTAAGGAATACAGCTTGTAAATAAAAAAGAAGCCCTTTTTTGTGATGCTTTCCCCCCCCCCATCACATGCCTTTATATGGAATAACAAAAATATCTAGTAACACCTTTCCTGGAGGGTTTCAAAGAAGAGGAATGTTCTTTTCCATCCTCTCCAAGCTGCTCTAAGACCACTGACACTTCACAATGTAAGGCTGCACAGATCTCCAGCCCAGCCCCCGTCCACCTCCACACTCCACTAACGAGACAGCCCTCTTGCGCACCCAGATTCCAACATCTAACTAATGATTTCCGCTAGCTGGGCTGCAATGCGATTGATTAATTGACTGATCCGGGAGCTTAACGGGCAGCGGATTGAGAAATCCCTGTCTTGCTTTCAGCACACTAATTGGAGGCAAGCCAGGCAGGGCAGAAAGCAGCCCTGAGCAATGTAGTCTGAACACAAGCGAGTGTCCTGGGGAGGCACCTGAAAAGAAGAAGGGGAGCAGAGTGTCAGGAGGGGGGGAGCGGGGGAGAAGAGAAGAGTGCCGTGTAACGGACAAGCTGAGTGAGCTGCAGGCTAATGGAGGAGAAAGGCAGGGAGGCCACAGCCAAGTCCCCGATACCTGCCATTTCTAATAGCCCTCAGTACAGGCATCTCTTTGAAATGCTAAATGATCCTTACACTATATTGTAGGGTAGTGGCACTTCACTTCACAGGCACATCACATTCACCCAGTTTATTTTTTTCATTCTTTACAGTTTCAAAGCATTTATTTTTCCCTCATCTGGGTTTAGCTTTTTGGCTTCTAAGCCTGTGCTACAAAGCACCTATGATATGTGTGAAAACGAAGGGAACAGAAAGGCCTGCTCAAGAGCAGTTCTTCCAAGAGCAAAGGACACTGTACATGCTTTTGTTACTTTCTGAGGAGAATATAACATCAACAGAGGTGAGGATGGCAGGGGACCATATCTCCCACCTTTTTATCACTTTTCAGCCTCCTGCTGCTTACAGTCCAACAGTCCAGAGCTTTAAAACGCTCAAAATGATCTTTTCTCTGTAGCTACAAGCTCCCACTGTCTCCGAACACGTCTTCCCAAATATGCTGTAAACGCCTTAACTGACAATTGTACAGGAATGGACAACAAAGTTTAAATTATCCAGTTATTAAGTACCAATACTGACAGACTGCCACCAATTATGAAGGGTGAAGAGTGTAGGATGGACACTATCATGGAGGTTGCTGGTTTAGATCCAGACTTTAACACAAAGCATGCTTTGGCTGATAACACCAAGAATCCAAAAAAAATAAGAGTGGAGTCTTGAGAAGGAAGACTGAGGGGGATTTGCTCTGCAGTGTGATAGTTCCTCTGGCTGGACACTCCAGGTTTTAGCTGTGCTACAGAAACATGGGATAAGTCTGCATCCTTGAAGCATCAGTACATTCCCACTCTGTCATTATGAAAGGCACAAAGCATAAGACATGCGCTATTTCTTATTAGTAAGCCTGTACAACTCGTGCATTTAGGACCCTTCTTTGGTGGAAGTGCTTCTTTCTATGTTTTAATTATTTAGTTGGATGTGAAAAAGATCAATTAAGTGATAATGGTCTTAACTGAAATAAAGCCTTGTAATAGAATGGATTGTAAGAGCTGAATATCCCCAGGGTGCACAGCACGTATATAACATAAGTGACACAAAGATTAAAAAAAAAAACATGCAGATGGCTTAAACTCTTTTCTTTCCATCGTGTACATGTCAGATTTGCAATTAAACCATTCAGTGATATGGTCTTAATTTCTGGGCAAATGCACATTTACCTGGGTAATTAAACTATTAATTTATTAGTCCACCCTGACTGCTTTTTGATTAACACTTGGATAGGAGCTCAGTCCTGGCACTACCTAGATCCCAACCCTCATTTGATAACACCCCCCCAGGGAACAAGATTTCTCTTTGCACCCCTGCACCTACAATATAACACCCCTGTTTCCATGCAACACAGTGTCACAAAACAGCTACTACTGACACACCTGTCTGCCTACTCCATCCTTTAACTGAGGGGGTCTCTGTTCTTGCAACATGTCACAGTGTTACGACAGAGAGGCATGCAGCACCCAAACAATGTTTTTTTTTTTAGCAGCTGGGCTTTGTAAAAAGATTGCGTGGCACTGCATCAATTCAAGCACTGTTCACAGGACGCTTACTCCTGATCAAGTTGGAGCAGAGGAGCTGAGGGACTGTCCAAATAGGAGAGTAAGGAATGTAATACACGCTTCCCTAAATCCAACGTCCAAGTTAGGCAGCATGTGATTTTCAGATGTCTTCCGGTTCGAAAATCAGTGAATCGGTTTATGACACCACTTTAAGCGGCGCTCTGCATATTTCCCATTAAACTTCACACTCACTGAGGGATTCTCCTTGGGGAAGGCAAGGGCAATCAAGAAAAGAGGTGACTCACTGCTTTACAGCTCTTTCTTTGTTATCGTGATTCACAGTGAAGAGGGTACAGGCTGCAGACACTATTTTGGCAGTATTAGAGGCACTTATTCATTTGTCTTCACAAATAGGATCTGTCTGGGACACAGAAAGGGCACTGCAGACAGACTGTTCCTATAGCAAAAATCATCCACGTGATGTCTAAAAAATCTGTTGTAGGGATGGCATACAATAAATGAGACTACTAAACAGTTCTTTGTTGTAATGTGTTTTAACTGCTGTGTGTTGAGTACTCTCCAACAACTGTGTGAGCTTTGTGACCAGGTCATTGCCATAAGTTAGAATGTGTTCACCTCTGACACATCTAGCTAAATAAAGGATTGGAAACGGAATGGAATGGAAATACTGTGAACGGCAAGGAACTGGCATGAAGCTGACTGTAACAGAATCGCAGCCTGTGTTTATGTGCAGGAGGTGGAGGAATCATCTGACCTGCAGCAGTCTCCTCAGTTTGAGCAGCTGTGTCTTCACTGAGGTGCAGTCCTGGGCCATGTGTCTTAGCGTCAGCTCGTCCAGCATCACTGTGTTCTCCTGCCAGCCCAGAGGCTGCAAAGGGCGTGGGGCAGCCCGGCTCGACCCGGAGGATCCATACCCCTCAAAAGGCCCAGTCGTGGAGCCCAGGAACCCAGCACCCCTGGAAAGGTAAGCAAAAGAGAGACAGTACACATTATCTCATGACTTCACACAGTCAGTCATAGGGTCGGCAGGAAAATGTCCAAAAATGTAATAGCAAGAATCTCTGGTTACATTTGCATATCAGAATTTAGTAAGGGAGGAAAAGCGTGGGCAAAAAACAGATAAGAAGTATAAACACAGACAGCTGATTCCAGGTACTTCATCACCTGTGAAACTTCTACTACTGGCCTAACGGAAATCCAAACCCATGCCCAACACTAGTCACGTTGCACAAATCGTACCTACTTCATTTTCTGTAGGGGGTATCATCTTTCAAATTAGCTGTGCTGTCAAGAGGAGCTTATGGCATTAACAAACACAATCAGATTTCCCCATGATTTTTATTTACCTCTCACAGTAAAAATTCAGAAGTGTCTCTTGAAATACAGAAGACTCTGCTTTTGTGCGATGTACTGTATAGAGTCACTGGCTCAAATTTGCATCAGGGGGCAGAGTGCATTCTGGGAAACTTGCCCAGGCAGTAGTTCTGATACAGGTTACATTCTAGGGCAGGTTACTCCAGTTATATCTGGTTACAGCTAGTGGAAAGCAAAAGGCTAAGAAAACTACAACAGCATCTTTTATAGCTTCAATGTGTTCCTGTGGGAACACTCACACAGTCTGGACAAAGAGACTCTGTCTAAACCTTCAACTTGTCATCGCCACCCACATACCTCTGTCTTTCCTAAATGCGGACAGATACAAAACAATAAAGACTTCTAAACAGAGACTTGCGTTCTGCAGATATTTTTGAGCATCTCCAACCACTTTAAAACTTGGAGAATGAATGTAAAAAAAAACAGTAGAAACACAGAGAGAGGTTAATGAGAAAGAGGATGTTCTGAATGGAAAGGTTTTCAGATGCACTGTGAAGAGACATGGCCAGACAGACAGGCAGGTGAATGGAGAGCTGTGGAAATCCAGCGATTACTAAACAAAAAGCCCAGCTGCTATACACAAACACTAAGGGCGGCTCAGCATACCAAAGGCCACCTAGCTCTTTTTTTTCCTTCATTTTTCAGAATATATACATATTTATCTAGGAAATTTTCAAAAAGTATAAAAGCAGTACACATATTGTAAGAAGTCCACTCTCTTTGGACATCAGGACATTACAAGAGTGTTGGTAAGGAAGTATCAAACCATGCTTTGTCATCTATTTTTATCTGCTGAAGCACACTGAAGCTGAAATAATGACTGTCACTTACATTATGACATAGAATATTCTATTTGGAGCTCATTCTTTTCCTTTGAATAAATCAGCAACAATTATTCCCTTCTCTACAATTCACATCGGACACTGAAACTCTCCTACACACTCTGGAACACTGTAAAAAAAGTCTAGAACAGACTCAATTCCTGGAGGGCCTAGTGGCTTCTGGTTTCTGTTCCATCTGAGCTCACAGTTACATAGCCATTCTAATTATTTAATTAACTGCATAATTGGAACACTTCTAATATGGCTCAGAGGTGTTGTATAGGCAACTGTACATTTAATGAAGTAAATGTTTTGAGCAATCAACTTCAAAAGACCTTAAGAAACATCCTACATATGTCTAGCTAAGATGAAATAGAGGTTTATTCTTTAATTGACTACTTAGGCTGGAACAAAAACCAGCAAGCCCTCCAGGAAATGAGCTGGTTATCAAACCTGTTCTTGAAGCAACCCTGTGCTTTCTGGGTTTTGCTCCATCCAAACTCTTTGTCAATTAGGCTAATTACGTTTTTGTTAATTATTAAGACTCTTAAGCAGTTGGATGTAGCCAGTAATTAGTATCAAACTTGAAACAATTTCTTGGTTTCTTAAGTGTGTATAATTAAATGTGTGTCACTTTTTGCAGGAGTATTTAATACAGTGTCATTCCCATTTGTGTAAATGATTCATAACACAACTGCAACAGAGATTTTTTTAACCAAAGGCCAAATAATGATCCTTTAAATGGCCTAATCAAGCAAGGATCAATTAGCTTTAGTGATCAAAAGCTCAGATGGAACAAAGAGCAGACGATGCTGGCCTACTCCCGGACTGGAGCTGAGAAGCACTAGTTTCCGACACTCTGACACTCTCCAGCACACTGCCAGTCCACACCTGGTGTCACTGTGGAAGTGATCTGGGCCACTCCACCGGTGCTGCCTTCTTCTCCAGTGCCCCTGCCGCCCTCCTCGCTCGGAGCGATCCAGCTGGGACATCCCGTCAGCGTCTCCTGCAGAGGAGCATCCCAGCACAAGGTCAGGGACAAGAGCACAGGTGTTAATAGTTCATTGATCTAGTTCATTGAGGTGCAAAGACAACTCAGGATTCATCTCAAAGTACAGAGCTGACACTGATATCTCTTCCATAACGCCACATTGTTCCCAATTACATTCCTACTGCATGGAAATAGCTAAGCTTGGAGTACCTCCAAACACCACGATAATACAGAAAAAAGACATGAACAGTAAAAAAAGAGAATATGAAAGACTATCATCACTGATATTGTCATACAGACACAACCCTGGGGGTTCACATTGAGAGATTCTTCCAAATTCAGAAGCTGGTTTCACTCTCTACATAATAGCAGCTCAGTTTAAGCTGAAGAAAGCTACCTCTGTGTCTGAGAACCCTAGTGTACTGGGGAGGAATGAAGTGTACCGCAGTTTAAAATCAAGAACAAAAGGTGTGGAAATCGAATGTGAAAATTAGTATCCAGTGTAGCACGACACCGTTAACATGCCGACAATGTTTTTTTCATCTTTCTGTGAACAAAGACCAGCATCAAGTCATAGAAGGCTTAACAGAAAATCTCTAAAATATCAGAAATCAAAACAAAACAAAAAAACTTCTCCACCCTCACTTTACACAGCTGAGCTCATCAGACTCAGACAGAATCTTACATTGGAATCTTTAAACCAAACCCCTTCACTCCACCAGACCCCAGTGTGCATCATATACACTATTCAACACATAGCAAAACACAAACTGAAGTTAAAAGGCTTGCTGAAGACAGAGAAAACAGTTACTTATTTCCTCCAGTTACACTTGTTTTTTCTGAACTTACCGGCAGCTGGGGAGGACTGCAGCAGCCCGTGTGGGAAGCATTAGTTGGGAATGAGTGAATGTTGTTGTTATGGCCCGTCCTGTCATGGGAACTCAGATTGAAAATAGAAGGCCTTCCTTCCTGCCTGCCTGGCAGTGTGTCACTGGGAAAAGGGCCCAGCTCTCCACATCACAGCCCTGCCTCACTGTGCTACTGGAGGGGCCTCCCCCTTTCCCCGGCCACAGCCCCAAACACGCGGCTATAAATACCAGAGGCATTCATTCCCCTTCCAGGAGGCCCGTGCAGGAGGAGGGACACTCACACTTCTCACTTTCCTCTTGCGCGGTGGCACAGGCTCTCTCTCACTCATGCAGGGCATACCCCACACACATCTGTCCGCAGACTTTCATCTTGGCCATGCCCCAGCACAGGACAGCAGCACTGCAGGGCTTTGTGCAAGTGTGTTTCTTGGGGGCTTAAGCCTATGTGCCTTAGTGTCTGCAAGTGCAAGCATGTTTGTTTGTGTCTGTTCTGTGCTTTATGTCGCTTTTTTTAGTACACAAAACTCCCCGTTTCTGCTCTGCACGAAGCTCTCATTCATGATCGAAAAAAGGTTCCGGAAGAGGGATTCTCCTGAAATGAAACACCGTGAAGCTGGATGACTTGCCAATTTCTCTTTATGAAGAGGTGAAGGCGCTGCTCGTTAGCATGGCAAAGAGTGAAACCAGAGATGGAGCCAGTGGCTCCGCAATGCCCAGCGGAGCCAGTGTTCACCAGGCCTCTAACTGCAGATCTCTGTTCACAAGCCCTGGTTTCCTGCTCAGCGGGACTGGACTCACCGCTGTTTAGGGAGCCATCATCAGGAAGCTCCACGTCCAGCATGAGGTCATCGTCCTCAAGGTCACATGAGTCCAAGTTGTCCAGATTGTTCAAGATGTCCTGCGCAAAGATGATGGGGAGGAGGAAAGGAACATCATCCCACACTGTGGTAAACTAATTCCAATTAAACACTGGTAAGGAATACCCTGAGGATTAAGGGGGTTTCATTTCGGAGAATATTGTTTTTGGCAGCATCTTTCTCATCTGGTTGGGTGATTGTTCTTTCTAAAAAATCAAATGGACACCCATGGACACCTGCTTCTCAGGAATGTAAAGACAGCTTTCAAGCTGCAATACAGTGCACTGACACCAGCAATTACCCACTAAGGAACACCCCATTTCCACATGGAAAAAGAGCTTATTATGGAAGCACATGCAGGGTTCTATAGCACTTTACCCACAAGGCATAAGAGCAGTTTCAAAAATTAAAAAGGAAAAAAAATGACCCCAAAACAATCAAAGAAGATTTCTTAAAATGGCATAGACTAAATTTAAAAACTATGCCTGAAGTACAGTACAAGGCAATAAGTGAAATTAAAAAAATGCAAATACTGGCCTGTAATAAATTAAAGTTCACCACAGTGTGCATTAAATTAGAGAACATTTCATGGTCTAAATATAATAAAGCATATGATGAGTGAATATTGCTCAGGCTGTCAGGGTTTGCAGAACACCAAGAGCAGAGAAGCAATGAGACTTCAGAAGGCATTTGGCCCGGCTGTGCTAGAGGTCAGAAGGTCAGGCACAAGATACAGTAGCACATGCCCAAATAAGCCCAAGGGTCAGACCATACACTGCAACTCTACCCAAGTTACATCCCTGTTACCTTACAGCACTGAGAAGGAGGATTCATTTGTTCTTAAAAAAAAATAACAATAGAGCATACATTTGAATTTTTCAAATGCCTAATTAGAGACAACACAGGCACTTTGGGGGACAGAAGAGCTAACAGCTGCAGCAAATGGTACTTTCTTCAGCTAATCGGCAGCATCCCTGAAAATCAGACAGCTGTAAACTAGTGTCTCTCCCACCCTACCACCCAGAGAGAGGGCTTAGTTACAGCACAGCGCTGCTGGGAAATGACATTTCATACCAACAGACAGCGACACTGACGGAGAAAAAGCACCAAAAAACTGGAAGAAAAATACTTAATTTCTTAGCAGGAAAACCAAAAAGGAAAAGGATCTCAGAACAGAATTCCTGCAGGTCACAGAATAGCTCCATGTGCAGTGCAGGAGGCTTTAAAGAACAGTACACAGTGCTTTACCATCAGAAAAGAGAAGCTAAGACTTCACAAACGTGTGGGACCAGCAAATAAATCCCTGCACTATTGTTTCACTTCTAGGCTTTCAGGCTTTATAACACACACTTAGATCCGATAAGGACTTTCCGATGATGCGCATGATAAACTTGCTCTCGTGAGCTCTGCAGGCATATGGAAAAAACATTCCACTCTAGTGTGTTGCCCAGATCGCTCAGTACAATTGGATTCCAAGTTCCGCTGGATTGTGATCGAACCCTCAATACTCCTTGTTACTCTTCTGTGTCCTGTGATTGACACAGAACCCTCGCTGTGCCACAGTAAGCCAAGGTATCCTATCAATAAGACACTCAAGTCAAGAGTGAGGCTCAAAGCCCATTAAACATTTTTCTGTTAATTGTAAAGCTAGGAATCTGGACTTTTGGCTGCCTAATTGACCCCTTAACTTGGACACATTGAACTAACAGCGTGACTGATTAGACTTATTTAATTGTATTTTGGTCTGAAAAGCAGCAGTGCTTAAATAATATATGAATATTTATAAGTAAATGTACAATTTCTTACAGCTGCATAGCTGAAACCAATTAAAAATGTCTAATTAGTGCATGATTAGTTAAATCTGGGGTTCAACTCAAGAATCAAGGCCTCAATTAGTACAAAAACCAGCAGGCACTGCACTGTGGCTGCACTGAGGGCCTGGGCTGTTCATTCTGCCTTAGACTTTTAATCTAATCTCTGTTGTGAAAGCGTGCTAGAATAACGCTACGTCACAATTCTGCAATATTACTCTTCTTCTGTCCTTACCTATGATAATGCAAGGATTTGTGGTCACACGCATTTATCAGGTAAACATCACACAACCCTAAAAAAACTTGTTTTTGTTTGGTAACAGTGAAAGAATTGCAAAAACGCAACGTAAATTGTCTTACAAATTCTGAGGAATACCACAACGAAAATGAAAATGCAAAACACATACCGCAAATCTATCAACATAAGAATTTTGAACTAGAACCCAGATCCATGAATGATAGAAGATATTTTTTCTCCAGCCAGGCCTTGCATCAGAGCAGAGGAAAACCACACACATTCACAAGCGGTTTAGTCTTACATCTCAGATCTGTGTAGAAAACAACAGTTTCCTCATTCACAGTGGAAATTAATTATTTCAGTAATCCAGTCCAACTTTGCCTGCAAACAATCAATACTTTGCTCCCCAAAGATTTGAAAATGGGGAATTGATTTCTCTGCTTTTATTCACTAGTTAGATTTGGCTTTTACTTCAGTAGTTCTTTTTATTCATGCTGAAAAGGCTTAAAGAGCTTATAAAAACTCTGTTAGCTTGGTTTTATCCTGATATTTTTTCTATTTCTGTTTGTGTATGTAAAACCTATGTATTCAAAACAGATCTATAGTACATCTACCTAAAATAAATGTATCTTTATCATTTAAACACACAAATTATTCTTCCATGTATGTGGGTTGCCTGACTTGCATTCTGTTTTTTCAACCTAAATATATTAACATTTTTGAAGCCAATAATTATGACGGAGAACAAAGTGGCAAATTAGCCCACTGAAAGGGGCCGAAAGTGTTCTTGTCCATAAGAGGGCGCTCTCATTGAGCCTTCCTCCCTTTCATCATCAGGACTGACTGACTAAAACCAAGAAACTACCAGGGGCCAAGAAAGCAAAATAGTCAAATTTCTTTGAGCCATTTGTAACATTACCTAGAAAGAGAAACAAAGACTGAGATGCCTGGCCCAGCTGTAATGTCCACTGACTGAAAAAACTAGGTCCTCATTACACTACCCATGCATTACAAATTATGAAAAAAGAGCATTACAGAGTCTCCTAAACATTTGTTAAACGTAACGTATGACATTTTAAAGATTCACAAGCACAGAAAAAAAATACATTTTGCACAATGACCATCTCTTCCTAATCTCACCATCAGGAGTCGCTGTTGGACATGGCATTTAAGATGCATCAATACCTTACTGCAAATCCTCGTTATACTGCTGACCTTTAAAAATACAACAGGTGTTTTTTTTTTTATAACAGGGCTCTAATGCATTTCCACTTATCCTTTTCAGTGGACATTTTCAAGGTAATGTTTTTTTCTGATTTTAAAGCTTCAATGAACAAGTTTTTTTTTTTCCTTCTGTTTTTAATACAGCATTCAGAGTGCAGGCAATCACACAATCGATTTGCTGAGTGGAAAGCAGCCAGGTAAAAAAAGGAAGCCAGCACTGCAAAAAAACATCCGTGGAAGGTCAAACAGAAAAGTCTCCAAAAAAGAGGAACAGGCTGAAAAACAATCTGGGCTCCTTCAGGCCGGGGCGAGAACACTCTATGGGAGCCCTATACAGCCAGTTCAGACTCCCTGATGAAGACCAGTCTCCGTGTGCGAATGAACTTTGGAATGGGAGGCAGAAGGCCCTGCACATAGGATGACAAGAGTTTACAAGGCTGTGCTCAAGATGCTGATTCAGCCAGACTTGGGTCTTTATCCCTGAGAACATAACAGTCAGTCGAGCATGGTGTCCCCAGTGCTCTCCATCTGTTCATCAAACACCTTACAGTCCAGACCGAGCCCTGCCCTGTCCCACTCTCTGAGCTGCGCTTGTGTGAGCGCACACAGCACACAGCGACTGGGAATGCAAGAAGAGGCAACGGGAGCAGAGGAGTATGTGCAGCAATGACTTCAGTCACAAGCTTTTAGCTTGCTGCTTAAAAAATATAATATTCCTGGAAATCCTGGAAACCAGCCCCTGCTCCATGCATTCAAAAACTGAAAGGAATGGTAAGAAACCAGGAACAATAATCTGTCCCTGTTTTTCTTTTTGCATCAAATATCTATACAGCCATGGGTTCAGTGTGGGAACCTGCAAGTCACCACTTACTTATTTATTGAATATGATGATCATTTATTAACTTATATTTGACAACTATGATTGGTTTCTAAGATCACTTATATTTTGCAATTTGGCAGGTAAGATTTAAAACAGAATTTACTAAATTAAGAGGCAAGTTTTATACTTATTTCTACAACTCCATTAGACTTCAGTAGCTGAAGGCCTTCCATTTCAATATCCCACAGTCTCCTCTATATGACTGAATTTAAATTGTAACATAAATGCAAATGTAAACATGATCTCGTGTCACCATCATATCACAGCTATACAGTTATTTGTGTAGCCTTTTAAAATTGCACTCATACAATACTATTTTCACACCTTAAAACGAGAAACGCATCAGAAAAGTAATGAATATTTTTAACCTCTTCGTTTCTTAATTAATGACTTTTTCACGCAGTCTTATCAAGAAGCACATAACTGCACATACACCCCCCTTCTGTGTTTTTTCCTCTCGGTCTACACTGCCTAGGTGTACTAAGAGAAATCAAGGTGAGGATGATTACACCCTCATCATGGAAGCACTGACAACACAAGTCCTAACTCGTCTCTGCTCGGCGGCGGCTGCACTTTCTCCTTTACAGAAAGCTTAAGGCCCCAGAGAAGTGCGTCGCTGGAGCACAAGGCAGCCAACACTCAGAGAGGCCGACAGCGAGGGGCCCCGGCAGGAGGATAGGAGCCCCGGGGCCACATGCCAGACGCACCCACTTCACTCAGCCTGCCAGGCGATGGAGGGGGCTGCAATTCTAAAGGATGGAGAGCAGAGCTGTGGGGGAGCTAGCTGGAGGATAATTAGGCCGTCAACAGGCATCAATAAAAGAAAGAAAAGGTCAGGCCCATCAGGGATGTGATTAAATTACTGTAAACGTATCAGGTAGTCACTCT